ATATATATTCTTCCTACTTCCACTAAACATAATTTATTTAATTATGTATTTTAAAACATCAATACTTCAATATGTAACATTCTATTATTAATGATGACTTTTCGGTAGTACTAATTAATTTCCCTGGAGGGGTCACCTGTTTTACCACTGCACCACTATACAGTATACTATACACTCTTAATTTTGGTTTTATTTATTCTTGAAACAGAACACTTTCTGGGACCCTGCAGAAGTACATCTAGTTATATACCTTAAATATAGAGCAAAGTTACTGCATTGCAGTATGAAAGACTAAATACTCATTGCAAATCAGATAGATAATGATAACATGGGAATCTTTAAGTGTTAATGTTACAACAAGTCAATGTTTCAGAGCATATTTAGTAGGAGTATTAATAATGTTTATTCAGAGGAGAAAGCTGCAGTTTATTTTTTAGAACATGTTTGATTAAATAACAATAAGCAGACTGGCTCAGATTTTATTTAACTACACTGTAACGATTTATTACACTGCAGTTTGTCTATATTACGACACAATTTTTAGAAAGTTCTCTTTTTAGTATGTTTAGTCAATTATAAAACATCCTGCCAACAGTAGAAGGGAGGTAGTAGATAACAAATAACCCACTTACTATAAGGCTCCAGAGATCACCTTCATCATCACACGCTATACTCCCTGGGCAGTAAAGTTGAAACCAACCATCTTTATCATCACGGATCCCTAAAAGTGCCAGATGAACTTCACATCTAGGGTCTTTACAAATGCTCTCGATAACAAGCTTAAAATTTCTGTGAAGAACAACGTCAATATAAAGTTAATGCGTATTTTAAAACGGTAAAGTTTTCATTAACGTTACTCGACAAAACACAAAAGGTACAATAAATAAAAGTTATTCATTTATATATGAATGTAAGCGAACTTTAAGAATTCGAAACGTTGTCAAAATGATAATATAAAACGAGTCGCTAATTTTTATTATTACTGGTGAAATTCGGTAAATTATTACTAACATTAAAAATATAACGTTGATGGAAACATTTCTAAAAGAATCTGACAGCAAGTATTCTTAAGCTACTTCATATACTAAAATAATTCTTTAGGGAATGCTACCAATTTATAGAAAAGTTTAAACTTTAAAGAACAAAAAGTCGAAATAAAAGTTAAAATATACTTTTATGGCAATTTTAACACAATAAAATGATGATTTGCAATTTCTTATTTTACAGAAACTTTTAATATATACAGTGACTGTTTTGTTTCATTCTGTTATTAAGCACAAAACTGCATACTAGATTGTGTGTGCTGTGCCCACCACACGTATTGAAACCCGATCTTTAACATTGTAAATCTTAAAACTTACCGCTAAGCCACTGAGGTGCAAGGCATAATAAAAATTTATAATTAATTTTAATCTACTAGAAAAAAAAGAAGTTATTTCTATTTGTTGTGTGTGAATTTCATTACTAATTCTGAGTCGAACATTATTTCTGTCATTTCATTAATACAACCTTTGTTGTTTCCTAATTCAGTTAATGAAACGTACTAGCAAAAAATCAGATAATAGCTGAATTAATCAGGAAATTTAATGTGCAACCGGATAAATTTCTTGGTCCATGTTTGCTATCTAATCAAATTGAAATTGTTCGTAACGTATATAGAATAAACGTTTGTTTTCGAACCACTACTGTGACAAACATCTAATCAACATTGTAGTTTTGTACATGCAATGAAGGAAATATAAGTACTTACTTTGTGAACTGTGCATATGCCAGGGCACTGAAAAAGAATAATAAAACGCTAAACGTAAATAGTGTACAATAATTACGCAGTCTTATATTAAAATTTCAAGCACAAATACCAGATATTATTGACATTTATAATCACAAGGTATTTAATAAAAACAGTGAATCGCACTTTACTGATATTGTTACGTATCTGCTAGTTTGTTAATTTCCGGTATAAATTCTTTCCGAGGAACTTCAGCGATACAAGTCCTTTCTTGATTAAAACCAGTTTATTCTTTCTGGATACAAACTTTGTAATGCACAGAATTTCCAATCAGTAGGTTAAACTATACTTCTTTTATAACACACGCTATAAATCACAGTGATTCACACACTTTACTTGAGGTGCCTACTGTTCGCTTGACTCAATTATCTATATCTTCGATCTATCTGCATATCTATCTATCTATGCAATCACGCTGGTTTTTCTCGTCAGGCTTATATACCAAAACAGAGGGCGTCTAGCAAACACTCGGACATTCGCGAGGTTCCTCGATAAGTCGTGATCCTTCTAGAAACTCCAGCGTCGCGTGACTTCCGCTGTCGTAGCAATATGAAGTCTCGTGCCATTCTACTTAAGCCACGGTAACAATAGTGACCTGACTTTTGATTTCAAAAGTACTCTTTAATTAGAAGTTACTAAAAATTACAATAACACCTCTTGGAAAAATAAGAGTCCAAAATTAGTGATTTTTTTTTCATTTTCATGCCTTTTGATGTCTACTTTTTTAACTTGGCTGGTCGAGCCACTACGGTGGATTTTGATAAAAGAGTAAACCACTTACTCGTGAGGGAAGGGTATAGGCTGTAACAGTTGCGCCAAACCAGGTCTCCAGTCTTCAAATGAAACACTGTAAATATAATAAGCAATTATAAAATATGTTTTGATAAGATATGTTTTAAAATTAAAGTATCACGATAAATGTCAATGACATGACTTATATAACAAAAGTAAAAAATATGTTTACGAAATGTACATTTAATACCTTATATTCTTCCCTCTTCTACTGAACATAATTAAATTTACTCTTATCATTTAAAACCCCAATACTTCAAAAAATAATATTACTAAAGGTGGCTTTTCGGTAGTACTGATTAATAAGCTACTTAAAATGTAGAGTGTACAGTGGTGTAGGAAGGAATTGTAAAGTAAAAGTGCTTGGTTAGACATGCAGATTTTACAATGTGAGATTGAAAGTATAAGGAGCTTCTAAAAGTAGTTCCTGTGGTGCCCAAGACAGCTCAATCTAGGGGATCTGTGGGCATGCCCCCTAGAAAATTAATATAATAATATAATTTACAGTTGCTATAGAAGTCAAATGTGAAAGAGTGGCGGTGTTACAGCACCCCCGGTTCCGACGCCTCTGAGAGTGTAGTTATTTTATTATAGTATGAAAGACAGATCACTGTGATTGCAAATCAAGATGGATAATAATAACAAAGGAATCTTTTGATATTATGACGAGCGAGCGTTTCAAAACATATCTGTTGGAAGTATTAATAAGGTTTGTTCAGTAGAGAAAGCTGCGATTCAATTTTTAGAACAAGTTTTGGAAAACAACAATAAACAGACAGACTCAAAATTAACTTAAACTGTCTTTGTCAATAAGTAATTGTCTAAATACATACAAGTGTTGTCTTATTGAGTTTTGCAATGACGTCTGTTTGTTTGTAATTAAGCAGAAAGCTACATAATGGGCTATTTGTGCTGTGCCCACCACGGGTATCGAAATCAGGTTTTTTGCGTATAAATTCAAGACATGCCGCTGAGCTACAGGGAGGCTTGCAGTGAAGTAAAAATAACTTATAAAGATAATTGAAAACATCAGTAACGTTTGTTTGTTTTTAATCCAAGATAAATTCATTTCTAATTTAAGAATTTCTAAAAAAATATTAACGTTAAAAAGCTTTTTATGTTCACAACTATATTACCATCAAAGTAGGTTATCAGTTGATGTATTGTTATCATTTCTCACAGCAGAATTTCAAGTGTAAAATGACACTTGTTAATCCCTTAATACTGTAATTTTTCCATTACTGACTGGGTTGAAAGCTTAAGATATTGCAACAAAGATAAATAATTAAGAATCGGCTATTATTCATGTTTATATTTAATCTATATATAGTATTTGACCACGAACTAATGTTAAAAAAAAGAGGAGAAACTATCAACTTAAATTGTATATTTTTACTTTCTGTTACGACAGCGGAAGTCACGTGACCCTGGTAACACGTCATGAGTTCTAAAAGGATCGTGAAGGCCCGAGTGTTTGCCAGACGCCCTCTATTTTATTATATAAGCCCGGCAAATAAAGCGGAGAGATAATGGCAGATAGACAGATATCGAGACAGATAATTGAGTCAAGTGAGCGGTAGTGACCGTAAGTAAAGTGCGTGAATCGTGGTGAATTCTAATGTGTGTTTAAGTTAAAGTGACTGTGGAAATTAAGTGTAATGCAAAGTTGTATTGAGAAATAATAAACTAGTTTTATTTAAGAAAGGACTTGTATCGCTGAAGTTATTCGGAAATAATTTTTACGGGAAATTAACAAACGAACAGTGACGTAACATCTCCAAATTGCATTGAACAATTACAAACGTGCCAGTATCATGGAGATATATTTTTTAATGAATACTAAGTATGTACTCTGGACTAAAGTTCACCCTTTTAAAGCATGCAAACTATTGAATTCTGTGTGAACTTTGTGATCATCTTTTTGATTTGAAATACTCGTATTATATTTCGAATGATATCAATCAACGTAACTATATCAAAGTCCGTACGTAACAAGGAGTACAAACTCTACATGATCGATCGTGCGCTCTACGAAACAGAGTCAATAATTCCGGGAACAGCAGCTTTTTTGTGACGTTAACAAGAAGTATGTTCGGCGAAAAACAGTTTCCTTATGAGGTCTTTGTTTGTTTGTTGAATTTTGCGCGAAACTACTAAAGGGCTATCAGCGCTAGCCATTCCTAATTTAGAAGTAATAAACTCGAAGGGCAGCAGCTAGTCAACATCACCCACCGCCAACACTTGAGCTACTCTAATCGAATAGTGGGGTTGACTGCCACATTATAACGCCCCTATGGCTTAATAAATGAGCCTATTCGGTGACTGGATTCGAACCCGCGACCTCCCTATGATGTGATGAATATATTCAAGCTAAAATAACTAAGTAATGCAAGAACTTTTTAAACGCCAAACTGATAACAAATTCGTAATGGATTAATTAAGAATAATATAATTAAAAAATATCTGAATAGAATATAACGTTCTGTAACATTACTTTGATTTATATAAATGTATTGCTTCAACTTAAACGTTTAAATCTTCAACAAATCAAAACTTTCTTTTATGAGGTTAAGATATTCTCACTTTAAATGCCTACAGTGTAGGAAATATTTACTTTGACACACACACAAGGCCCAGGTGGTTAGGGTGTTCGACTCGGAATCTGAAGGTCGCGGGTTCGAATCCCCGTGACACCAAACATGCTCGCCCTTTCAGCCGTGGGAGTATTATGATCTGACAGTCAAGCCCACTATTCGTTGGTAAAAGAGTAGCCCAAGAGTTGGCGGTGGGTGGTGATGACTAGCTGCCTTCTCTTTAGTTTTACACTGCTAAATTAGGGACGGCTAGCGCAGATAGCCCTCGTGTAGTTTTGCGCGAAATCCATAACAAACAAACACACACACACACAATTAATCTGCACAAGAATTCCTAGTTTATATACGACCGTTTTCATTCCTAAAATACTTTTATTATCCCTTAAAACAGTGGTTCTCAAAATTTTCGGCTTACGTGCCAGTTTTTGTTTAATCTTTTTTTTTTTAAGTACAAACCTCAGGCCTAATTTTTAAAAAAGCGCGAAAAAATCTAGTAACACAATTAAAGTTTTTAACACTTGCCCATTAATGGGAAGGATGAGATTCTTTTTTCTGGCACAATTGAAGAATATGTAGTGCAATGTACAGGAATCCCTCGATTAGTGCGGTTAATGTGTTCTTTAAAAGAGCCGCACTAATCGAATATAATAACT